TTCCTATTTTTCATTGTTGGTTATGACTTTTAGTATTGTAGTTTTACATACTATTATGAATAGCTAATTTGTTATCTAGAGTTTTGATAGAACCTTTTGTAGGATAAATTCTTGTTATGTTTTTATATAATTGAGCCATAGCTTTTCTCTATTTGTTCAACTACGTTTATATTCTGGTTGATTGAAGAGCTCTCAATTAGCTGTGCCTATTTAGTATGCATAACTCGGGAGAGAGTGCATATTTAGGTAATTGTTGAACAACACCACTCCCAAAGTATATGAGGGATCAATAACCGAGGGTTTAAAGGTGGGATTAGGGATAACGAAGCCTTGGGTGCGATCTGAAGTGAGCTGTATTAAAAGCCAGCTAGCGTAGCTCGGGAGAGTGCGTCTAATAAATTGTTGTAATTACTCGGGAGAGATTTACGGTAATAAGAGTGCTCATGATCGGTAGAGAATACTTAGGCGAAATTATAGAAGACATAGCGGGAAGGATTCCGACAATTGGGGAAATCATAACTCTAGACCTCCTTAATCTTTTCTCTAACCCTCAGTATCGTTAGTTGTTAATTTACTATTTTAATTTGTTAGTTAATTAGTTAAACATAAGAATCTTAATATCTATAAGTTAGGAATTGTTCAAGCTTGTCTTCTTGGTGATAGTGAACAGCTGTAGCTAAACCTTAGTTCTCTGTGGGATTCGACTCCGGACTTGTAAACCGGATTATATTTGCAACGACCGCATTGTCCTTTTATAAGGCATAGTTGGGCGTGATCAATTATTCAATAGGAGAATGTACTTCGTCAAATTTAGAGAAAGTGGGAATAAATTTGATTCAAGTTTAAACTGCATTCAATATGGTGCAACTCCCTCGATTTATTTTTGTTTGTATCAATCCCTACTGATGTTCCAAAATAAAGGAGAAAAAATCTAATAATCACCAAAACTAGATTTACCTACTTATATTTACCTTCTCAAAGTTGGAGGGATAACAGATCTAGCGAGACATGGCATGTTAGAGCGACAAATATCTACTATTAATTATAAAATAGGGTTTAATTATGTTTGATTGTTTTCTAAAAGAAGTAAAGTTGTTAGCAGGAACAATTCTAATTTCACTGTAATTTCTAATGATATTGAATCATTTTTTGATTATTTTATTATTTCAATTATTATCAGCTCATTCTCTATTTTATTAAAAAAATTAAAAGATAAATATGCATCTTAACGAAGAAGGGGGTAGCAGCGGGTTGGTGCGGAAGGATAAATCCAAAGTTAATTTGGATTGGAGTACTCGACCGTCACACTTTTTCCTTTTTTGCTCGGATGTGTAGTTTAAATGGAAAAAGAATTATAGAATCATTTTTAGATAATTTACAACTATATCCTTAAATTAAACAAATATTTATGGTTATAAAAGTTGATCAATGTTTCAGGGATATTTTAGTCGTTCGACATTTATTCCGAGTTGTTCATGCTTTTATAATAACTAGTCTTAGTGTACGCGCGTTGCGCGTTTACATTATCACCTAAATATTATATTAAAAATTATGTTCAAATTATAAAATATTAAGTGTAAGCTCTATAAGTGATAAAATTGATCCTAAAAAGGTAACTCGAGGAAGGAGGAAATTTTGTTACATAAAAGTCCTAAAGCACCATTCAATTTAGTCACCTTAAATTTTGTGTGAGATTTATAATTTTAGCGCTTCGGTTTCACAAGTTATCAAATTATTCTTTTTTAGTTTAGCAAAAACACATAGCCCTTGAATATTTAAGAGTTTTTTGCAAATATTTTGGAAAGTTCTGCTCAAGTTCATTCGAGAAAACACAGGCATGATTGACTATACTTTTATTATGATGTAGGGTCAAGTTATGGGAGGAGGTATAATTAAACGACACATGACAAGTGTAAGGTTAAACTCAGAATCTGGGATATAAATATCAGGTGTGAGAACCGTTAGTGGATAATGGCACAAATGAGTCAATAGTGTAACGTCAGTGGCGTGAATATATCCAGCTTTTAACATTGTGACATACATATGTCATTTCTTAAAGTTTGATAGCATATTTGAGCCTTTTTCCATAACTCTAAATTGAAAATTTGAACTTTTGATCTTTTAAAGATTTGTGAGTAAGAGGTGGTTCTATAGCTAATAGAAATGATAAAATAAAAATGTGAAGCCTAAAAATTAACTAATATTGAGTTAATATTTTACAACAAGTTGCTATTTGTTAGGATGAATTCAAAAATAATAAAAAAAAATTAATAACAACTCATTTAGGATATGTTTTGTCTCAACTATTTCATCATTATACGTCAAGTTAGTGCTTTTATCGATCTGAGTCTTAATACTATATTAAAAGAAAAATTCAACTTAAAAAAAGTAATTGTATTTATATGATGAGTTTAGAGAAAAATTGAGTCAGCGTTTTTGTCTATTAAGTTGTTTCAAGAACTTAATAATTTGTTACTAAAGAAGATAGTTTATATTTTGTTATTCAAATCGTAATATAAACTCGTTCCCAATTTAATTTATTAACTGTAATAGTCATGTTATCTACTAAAAGTCATATTTTCAAAGGGTAATCTTTCTCACATTTTACTTTTAAATCTTTGTTTTACAGAATTATTTGTGTTATCGACTTTTATGAACCATTCCTTTTCTCTCTCTTTTATATATTTTTTTATTTATTGATTTTTATTATTGGGTGTATTTCAAATATCATACAAAAAAAATATTATTTAAGTATGAGACTAAAAGTTATAGATGAAAACGACATATTTGCTTTAGACTCTACTTCTATTTCCATCTATTTAAATAGATGACTCTGAAATATGTACTCAGAATTAATCATTGTGTTTCACCTAATTAAAATTTATTTATTCACTAAAATTATGATGTTTGTTAGTTCTTATCTAAATTTAAGTAACATAAAACATCAAATAACTGTAGAGACGGAAGAAACTAAACCTAAACAAATAACAAAGCAAATTTATTGTGATGTAAATAATTAAATTTATTGAATTTATTTAATTAAATTCTTACTCGATTGTAAATTTTAAATATTAGAAGTTCTTACATAATTCTAATAAGAAAAAATTTTGTTATCCAAATTTTAGTATTTTAAAGTGTTAAATATTTGGAAAATAATTGATGACTATTCATCTATTCCTAAATATTAGGAAATGATCAAAGGACTATTTTATCCAATATGAACTTTATTTTAAAAGGGTAAAAAAGGTGAATGATATTTCGCTGAGAGTCTTCGTGCTTTTAATATAAATATAAATATAGATGTAGATATTTCTATTATATAGAAAAGGAAATATGGTCAATCAAGGGCATATATGTCATTTTAAAAAAAATTATTGTATTGTTTGCATTTCTTAAATGCAAATTGTGTCCTCCTTGATATACATGGACCCCACATTCCCTTTACCACATCACTCCTTTAAAAGTTTAAATGTAATGTAGATTAGACTACTTTTGCATAGAGTTACTCCATGCAAATACTCATTTTGAATATTTTTTCTCATTTGATAAAATTACTAATTTTTGTTTTAGTCAACTAAAAGTTTTCACAGAAAAAGTAAATTTAATTTTTAAATAATAAAGCAACTAAATGAAATATAGATAAATATTTACAAGATTTTCATATTTATCCACATTATTTAAACACAATTTAAAAAATAAATTTAAAAGGTTTTCATGTATTCACACTATTTGAAGGCGATTTCAAACCTAAAAGTTTTATATTCAAAAGTAATTTTAAAAATTATAGTTTGTTAAACCTTAAAAGTTAATTTAAGTGATGATATTTGTTCATCTGTTCTAGGAGGTTATCTCTTATGTACTTAATTGATGTGAAAATTTGATTTGTATGGTTTGAACTCCATTCTTCCATGATAAGTTTTCAACAATCTGTAAATTGTCTTAAAATATTTTATATTATTTCATTATAAAAATTAACATATGATAAATCTATAGAAAAAATAAAAACGTTTATCTTATATCCTTAATTAAGAATATAAAAATTCCTATAATTTATATAGTCTTTTATCTTATCACCAGTAACATCATTTTAATCGAGTTATAATAAAATATAATTTGAACTACTATATTGAATTACTACAATTTATATCATGTTAATATTTGTTTAGTGTAGTTGGTTCTCTTTGTTTGAAGTAGTAGATTGTCTCTTTAGGTATGCAAGTCCCCTTGGAAGTTTTCTTTGTTGACTATACTAAAAATTTCTCTTGATTTTGTTGTATACAAGACATAAAGTAAAATCATAAGTTTTTTTTTTTAACTTTTCTCGTATTGTAAAGAATGATGCTGTTCGTTTTAACTTTCATCAGGTAGCTGATTGTTCCCACTATTGAAACACTTGCAAGACCAAATTGGATGTATTCAAAATTAGTTTACAAATAGATCGGTAAGTTTTTTATTGTAGAAAAAATGTTAATATAAATTACACCTGTACCTTTAATGTATTATCTTGTTAAAAATTTCAAATATAGCGAGGAAATAATACCATTCAATCAATTTTACAATTTGATGTTTATATTTGACATTGATATTAAAATGAGTATTATAGCACATAGTCTTTTTATGTTAATAATTGGAGCAACTTAAGCAGGTTATAATTTATAGTTTAATTTTTGTAAATTATTAAAATAAATTAATTATAAATTTTGATCCCCAATATCGTTCTCTACAGTTATTAAATGGATATAACAATGATCGATTTGTTTATCAAAAAATTAATTGAGCACCGGCAGACAACAATTTTAAGATTATAATGTTGGACCCGTATGCAGGCCTTTCCTCATCTAGTAAATAGATAGATAGATAGATAGATTAACCATTTCCCTTCGTTTTTCTTTTGTCCTACTATTTTTAATTTTTTACAATTCTGATTTCGGTCATTCTTTGTTGGGCCTCCCACATGGTATTTGAAACGTCACAGGGCCTAGAAGCCCAATAAGTAAGCCCATTAGGGTAACATTCACAGTAGGGTTTCTCATCTGTTTAAATGGTGGCTTTGTGTCGCTTCTTCACACTTTGCCCCCTTGAAGAGCTCTCCCTAGCCTCAGGTATGACACTTATCCCTTCTTTTCTCATGTTAGTTCTACAAGATTTGTGGGTCTCTTCATCATTTTAACTTCTGTAAATTCTCTCATAGAAATGGTAAAAAAAAAAAAAAAAAAGAAGGGTTGAACGTATTTCGTTTTGGGTATACAGAATTCTTGCCTTTTTGGATATAGACAACTCTAATTCTTATGGGTTTAGAAAAATGTGTTCTTGTTAATGGCTATGACCTTTTTATGTGATAAATGTGATTTAAGTTATTGAAGCTGAATATTGTAATTTTGTAGAACAGTAATTGAGGATTTTTCTATTTTAACCTGAAAGATTCTATTTTGTTGTGAAATATTTTGTTCATGCTAATGTGAAGGCCTATTTTAATTTATGAATGTGCATTTTTGTAGAAGCTGAATCATGTAAAATAGAACAAATAGACTGATGTTTGTTTTGTCAAACCCAGAAAGGTATTAACTTCATTTAATGCTGGTTTGGTTTTGTGGGTTAAAAAAGGTTGTTAAAGCTTGATCTGAGTATTCAGAAACACTAGCCAAGATGCAGAACGAAGAGGGACAAAACGTGGATCTTTACATCCCCAGGAAATGGTATGCCCTAATTCTTGGCTTTTTTTTTGGTGTCACATCGATTTTGTTTAGTGTTTGTATGTCTGAATGTTGTAATTATAGCTAACACGTGCCCACAATTGCAGCTCTGCTACCAACAGGGTGATCACTTCGAAAGATCATGCTTCTGTTCAACTTAATGTTGGCCATTTGGATGATAAGGGCTTGTATATCCCTGGCAGTTTCACCACTTTTGCTCTCTGCGGTTTCATCCGTGCTCAGGTTCTCTTTCCTTTGATAGTACTCATTTAACATTTGTGGGTGAAATTGACGTCTGCTGTTTGTTTTCCCATGATATCTTAGAGGTTTTAGTTTTAGTAATTCATTTGATGAACTTGTACAATAGGGATATTGCGTAGATTGTTAATTTTTGGAGGTTTGATGTTAATCTATACCTTGTAAGTGATACCATCTGGGCGAAACAGCTTCCATGCAAATTAATCTATACCGAGAAAAGGTCAAATGCAGCTTCCATGCAAATTAATATGGGGGGAGTTGGGTAGAGTCACCATGTCCAAAAGTAGTCTAGTGTAGGTTCGTTTAGCACTTCTATTTCTGTTATCAAACTGCCAAGAAATAGATGTGAGAGATATACCGAAAGTGTAATGCTGAAGGTAGTTTCATAAAGAGACATAAAATTTTGTAGCCTTTTAGTAGCTTACAGAAGTTAAAATGTCCAAAGCAGAGTAAGAACCTCAACTATATGCCTGAGACGAAGCCTAAACATTTAAAATACTCTATTAAACTTCAGAAAATCATGAATAAGACATCTTTCTGCTGTTTCCTCTATGTGATGGAGGTATTAGTACGTACCAGTCTTTTCTTCATCCAAGTTCATTCTTAGTATTTGAATAGGCCATTTAGCTTACCCTTTGTGTTTTGGCATTGCTGATAGTTTAAACAAGTTCAATTTTGTTCTTTTCATCTTCGTAGGGTGATGCTGACAGTGCACTGGATCGCCTCTGGCAGAAGAAGAAAGTTGAAGCGAGACAACAGTAGAAAAATAGATTTGCAATTTAAGATTATCTTATGATGGAGGATTTATGATAACTATTTGAATTTCATCTGGGTTTGACACTGTTTTCCCTGCTACATATGGGATAGCTTTTCATCTTTGGATATTTCACTTGCCTTCATGGTTTTGATCTCCTTTTCTGTTAAGTTTTAAAATGACTGGTGGTGATATTCCTGTGCTTGTTTTGCTGAATTTTATTTCCCAACAGCGGAGAGGGGTGAGTGTAAATGTTAGTTCAAGATCTAATGTGAGAACAAACTATTCATTCGAGTTGATGTCCCATCAAGTTGCTTCTTTAACTTTTTATCCCATAATACTGCTATTATGAGGCATGGAAGCTGAATCTGGAGTTAACTTTTTATCCCATAATACAGCTATTATGAGACATGGAAGCTGAATCTGGAGCTATGAGCAAATGATTTTCTGTTCGCTTATAGTTTTAATAGAATGGAGTTTACTCTACAAATATGTCTTGAGCTTTATTTCCAGTTTTTGCTAATCTTCTATGAGAAGGGATCATATATATAAAAACATATGCAAGGGACTGTAAGATCAAGTTTCTTCTGCTCTAACTATAGAGTGTGGAGAATGCCAAAATGAGACCTCATCTAATACTCAATGTTATCTCCAAGAAGTTGACTTGTCTTGTGTGGAGTATGTACAAAGCAAAATGCTGAGTGAATTTTTGAATTAGTAAAAAAGATCTTCCTCTCCCTGTAAGGTTCCAAGTAGGATAGCACTGGATAATGCTTCTGGCTAATGTTATTGCGTGCCCTGAAGATTTATCTAAAGGATAAAGTAAAATGGAAAAAGACAACATTGTTACCAAAGAAATACCTATTTTTCTCCTTTCTGGTCAGTCATCAGAGACACATACAAACATATGTTGTAATTGCTACAGGTTGGTTCAATATGTTTAGTCTAGCTTTTGGCTACTTCACAGAGTAGTACACCACATTATAATCTTGGACACCACACTTCCACCGACAAGATGGAGGTCAACTGAAGAGATAGTGGTCTCTTTACCCATATACTCCATTATCTTAGTTTTTGTTGGAGTAAAATGGCCCGAAGATACTCTTAACATGGTGTGATATTGTTTGCTTAGGGTCATTCTCCCACGATTTTCGCAAAAGACGTCACACCATTAAAAGTATTCAACTCCTTATAAGTAGCTTCGTTTTCTTTTCTACTTTCCGGTGGGACAATTGGATAATACGAAGGGGGTAAGACTTTCTTTTCAGTCGCCTTCTTTATTTGTTTCAGATTTCTCAAATCCATGCAAAGAGGGGAATGATTAAATTTTTTACATAAGGGGGACATAATGTTAAACCTTCAGACTGGCATAGTTCATTGCATAAGGATATAGTAGTTCGCTGTGGCATAATGCCACAAGCACCAAGCAGTAGCACTAGATAACTGTAAGCAAAGATTTCGTAAAGTCAGCAGATTGATATGAAAAGGATATTGTGGTTCACTGTGGCATAATGCCTTGAGCAGTAGCACTAGAAAACAGTTTGGATATTGTGTTTCCTTGTTGCCTTGTGTATTATGTATCATCAAGAATGCATTTGATGCAGGATTGAAGTTCATCTTTTGATTAAAAGAAAGTTTAAATTGGCGTGTTGATATATCTGTGTACATCTTTATATACTTTGTAAAGTGAATTTTGACGAGATCATGTTCATATACACCCATTAACATGTTTCAACAAGAAGAAACTATAATGAACATCACAAGCAAAGGATGTGGTGGGCGATGGGTGAGATCCTTTTACGAGAGGTCTCAGGTGAGATCTTTATAAAGCATTTTACTCTCCTTTGCTAGCAACCTGACAGGAATCCAGATTAGTCGGGCTAGTGGGCTACAGGTACTGGATGGTTAAACCGACAAAAACAGAACTCTATTGAACATCACATAGAGCTGTGCGGCATCTGATCCATTGCAGCTGCAAGATTTTGGTGTGCTTTTAGGCATGGAAAGTCCATAATAGAATGGGTAGGGGGTAGGCTATATAGATCATCCGCATCCATTCTGCTCTATTCATATCTAATATTCAGATGATACATAATAGTTATTTTTACATTGATGCTTAACCTGCCGCAACCTTCCTCTTTTTTATGGTTTAGGAACGGGTTATGCCTTCACGTGGACAGTTAATGAAGCGTTAAAAAATGCCTAAACTAAGATAAGCATCACGAGTAGTTGTTAGGCTCTTACCAGATAGATGGACCTAAAAAACAAGAATCTCTATTATGAGGCATTTGATGATTCGCCAATAAGTTGCATGTTGCAGAAGACTTGTGTGGATGGAAAGATAACTGCCTATAAGAGTACTGATGAGATTTGATTTCTGTATAAAAGGTTATGCTTTACCACGTTGAATATGAGCATCCAAAAATTCTGATATCTGGGACATGGAACAAAAACGGAAATAGAGAATCTCATCACATTTAACATCAGTATGCCAATAGAGGCAAGCGCAGGGTTCTCTCGCTCTACTTTACTGGTTCCGCGCCTCTAATGCAAAGAACAGTTGCTAGAAAATTATTGTGTGGTTCACTGTAACTAAAGGAGAAGAAAGGATTCCAGCTCAATACCTTAGATATGGAACAAAAGAATAAGGAGTAAGATAACAGACATGAAAGCAATGTCTATTGTCCATGCCCTTACTTTCCAATTGAAAAGAATGTGATGTTACTGGTTAAAAAGCACTGGTGTGACTTATAGCCAATATAGCTATCTCTCTAGTGGTGGCCCTCATATCTTGCAAACAAAGTGGGATAATTTCTTTCTATGATGTTTTTAAACTGTACAAGAAAGTTAAGATTTGATCCATCCTTTTAGCTCTTTCATGTGGAAAATCCTTTTCTTGGTCCGCCGGAATAGACCTTTTGAAGGTGAAATTGTTACATAGTTCCAGTCCTTCCGGTTCGCTGTTCCTTGAGCCGAGGCTCTATCGGAAATAACGTCCCTGCCTTATATAAGGTTTGCGTATACACTATCCTCCCCAGACCCCAGTTACAGGATTACACTGTTTTTTTTTTTTTTTTGTTGTTGTAGTTCCAGTCCTTCCGGATCTTACACCCCCCTTAGTCAAAGGGTGTATAATACAAGATAATTATATTATGGAATCACACCCTCCTTAATCTTAATTTGCTTTCTGAACTAGTTTTAACAAGTTTGTAGTAGAGCTATCGCGATTAAAGCTTATGCTAACTAATTTTTTTAACAATGTCATTTGAAGCGAGTTTTTATTCAGCCAGTTGGTTACTTAAAGACTATTTTCCTCTTTTCCCTCTATGAGTTTGTATGGCAAGGAAAATACCTGGTCCCATATCAGGTAGTATGCTCTGCTAACTAAAGAATATTGAAATAGGAATAGTATTCTTATATGAATAAGAGGAATTATTCTGTGTCCCCATATTGTCCTCTGAAGATGCTTGGATACAAGTTTCTAAAAGCAGAATTAGATGCCATCAACACTAAACAGTTGGGCTCCAAGAGTGAAAAAATGAATTAGATGACAATGCTGCAGGAAGGGGAATCATTTCTGTTTGACCCCCCCCCCCACACCCATCCACAAGATGCTCACCACACTACTTTTTATATACTAAAATGGAAAGTTTGCCTAGATTAGTGGGTTGACTCACATGTTAAATGTTCTAAAGACAAGTTAATTATAAACCAAGGAATATAAATATTCTTAATATGCTTAGGAGTGGAGAATAGGAGTCTTGTCGTAACTGGTAAAGTTGCTTCTATGTGACCAGGAGGTCATGAGTTTGACCTGTGGAAACAGCCTCTTGCAGAAATTCAGGATAAGACTGCGTACAACCGACCCTTGTGGTCCGGGTCTTCCGCGGACCCCGCGCATAGTGGGAGCTTAGTGCATCGGGCTGCTCTTTGTGCTTAGGAGTGGAGATACAAAGGTTGATCCCTTAGCTCATTGGTATCGATGAATTTGTTGATCCCGAAACTAATTCGCAATGAGTTGTTTATGCTGGAAAGGATCAGTCAAAAGGAAGGAAATAGTGTTGTCTTTCTAACTAAGAAAAGGAAAATGATAGAGTATATGATGTTAAACAAAATGTCAACTTTTTTGGTAGATTAAAAGCATTGATGTGATTGCAGAAATGAATCCCTCCTCTGTATACACTTTTCACTGCACTAAAGTTTATGTGAAACTTTAAATGTCTATCTCTGCTTCAGGTTTAAAAACACATGATAATTCAAAGAAGAGGCAGTTCAGGAGAAGTAAGTTAAAGGGTCCATTAAAAGGGAAAAGACCCAAATGAAGAGCTGTGTGGAATGGTACCCTATTTTTATTATGTTGGCAATTGATTTTGCTTTTGCCATTAGTAATATACTTCTCAAGAAGATTATACTGGATGGAATGAACCATTTGGTCTTCATCACTTATCGTCAGTCCATTTCTACCATATTTTTAGCCCCAATTGCCTTCTTTCTGGAAAGGTATGAAGATTATCTCCTAGTTCTTAGAATAATTTCTATCTCCTATATATGAAAACCTTTTGTCTCCTTTGAACATGTAACTTATTAATTTCTTCTTGCAGGAATACTAGACCAAAACTCACCCCTCAAATCTTGTGTAACCTTTTCTTGAGTGCTATCGTTGGGTAACTCAGAATGATCTCTATAGTGTTCACTATATTCTTTTAAGTTGACTGGCTCTTTTGCATGGCTATATGTTTTCTTGCTAAACATCTTTGACCATATGTTACATCTTTTTTTGTAGGGCATCTCTTACGCAATACTTATTCCTTCTTGGAATAGAATACACATCTGCAACTTTCTCATGTGCTTTTGTCAACATGGTTCCTGTGATCACATTCCTAATGGCATTACCTTTTGGGTCTGAAAGCTCAGTTTGCTTATTTCACTGAAAAAATAGCTTTAGATTGTCCTCTTTTCTTATTGTACCGATAACATTTTAACTCCATTATGCATGAATATGATGCAGGTTAGAGACTATCAACATCAAACACGGAAGTGGAATAGCCAAATTGATTGGTACATTAATATGCGTTGGAGGTGCCTTCATACTGACTTTTTACAAAGGCATCCCTTTGATTCATTTTTCAGACCTACAACATGTATCTCCATCCTCGGATGCAGCCATTAGTTCCTCGAAAATAAAGGAAAGATGGATCCTTGGTTCTCTGGCGTTGTTTGCTGGGACGTTTTTGTGGTCGTCGTGGTTCCTTCTTCAATCCTTTATCGGAAATCAATATCCATGCAAGTACTCTAGCACTGTTATCATGACCTTCTTTAGTGCCATACAATCGGCTATCTTAACTTTGTCTATTGATAGAAGACTATCAATTTGGATTCCAAAGGAAAAGATCGATATGTTGACTATCGTCTATGCTGTAAGTACTCTATGCCAGTTTGTTTCTTCCTAAGTAGGAGTAGCAGATATAGATATTTTCCTGTCCCTCGCGCGGAAGTCATTTCTTTCTCTTTATCGCTCATTGTATTTTCCTGTTTCTCTCTCTGAGTCTTTGCAATTCAACCTGTTTGCTTACAAAGTTCTGATGCACCACAGATAGAGTTATTACTGTATGTGCTCGAAAAACTAAGAATTTAAAAAGAACTTGCATGGATTCGTTAGACATTCTGAATGTTTGTGACAATCAACGTCGATTTGGGAATATGACAAGTACAGATTAAAGAAAAGCTAAGCCTGCTATGAACCAAAGAATGTCCTTTCTACAAAACGTAGTAAACTCCTTTCTATGTTGTTTAACGATGAACATAGTCGTGGCGTGGCCTCTAAACACAAGATGGAAACTTAATTATTTCATAATTATTTTAGTTTAAAACTTCCCAAATTAACAAAAGATACTTCTCCAGGGGTTAATAGGTTCAGGAATGTGCTATGTGGGAATGTCATGGTGTGTGAAGAAGAGGGGTCCAGTCTTCACTGCAGCATTCAGTCCTCTTGTCCAAATTATGGCAGCCATGTTCGACGTTCCCATTCTACACGAACAACTCCATCTTGGAAGGTGATTTCAACAGTTTAAAAACTTCTAAATTCTTTTTTAACCATTTTCCATATAATGACCTTAGCACTGACTAACTAATTCCTTCATAAACGATCATGATCAGTGTAATTGGATCAGCAATTGTAATTGCCGGACTATACTTTCTGCTTTGGGGCAAGAACAGAGAAATGCAAAAAGTTGTCCATGAAACTGAAGAGAAAAAGGACAAGGAGCTAACCTTTAAAGATTTAGAAACCAATTCTGAATCCAGGATCCCTTAATGTGAACTTTCTCTAGAAGTATTTCAATATGTATTCCCTATGAACTGAGGTTTCTTTGTTAACCTTAGATTTTGTAATAAAAAACTGCACCTTTACCATTAAAATTTTTGTTCTTCTAGGAATGAGTGCAAGAATCAATTAGGAAAGAGCCTACCAAAACTGTCAATTGCAAGACTCAAGTGTGTACCCAAAGAAGGGAGCATTGGCGTAACTAGTAAAGTTGTTGCCATGTGACCAGGAGGCCATGGGTTCGAGCCGTGGAAACTGCCTCTTGCAGAAATCAGGGTAAGACTGCATACAATAGAGCCTTATGGTCCGGCCCTTTTCCAAACCCCGTGCATAGCGGGAGCTTAGTGCACTGGGCTGCCCTTTTTTTCAAGTGCGTATCCAAAATAGCTGGAGATAACTTTATTATGCTACCAAAGGAAAATGAGAAATAGCGCAGCAGAAAGATCTGAAAAGATTTTATGATTATTAAAGTAATACAATTGCAACATTTGCTTTTCTGATATATCACAAGCGTATTGAACCTCATAACAAGCATCACTTACTATAGGTTTTAAGCCGAATGGTAAACACAGTATACATCCCACCCACACTGTTCTTGTCCGAAATCCTAAAGAGACAAAGACAAGTTGAGAAGAGAAGGAAACACAAAGAACTAAAGGAGCAGGACTCAACTAAGCTTTGGTACTTTATTCATATAGAGTAAAGGTCTGAATTTTTTTAGCAGTTTCTGACCATTGAGCCTATTCTGAGTGTTGAGAATGGTGGTAATGTTTGGAACTTCCCCTTTCCTTCTTTTTTCCATGTCCTTTTGGTGCTGGGGTTTCTTGATCCACATAATCAGAGATGTCCAAATGAACACCAGGGTCATTAGTACAATAGCTACCACCCAACATGATTGAATTGTTGATGGACTGGAAATTGCTATTCACATATGTTTTTAAGGCCTCATTTTCCCCTGGTGAAACGCCCTCGAGGCCAGGTTTCTCATCCATCTCACCGCGCATGCTGGCTCCAACATTGGTTCCGGCTAGAGTGATGATTCTTGTGCCATGATCATCTTCATCATCGGCCTGAAGATTCTGGCCTGAGTCTCCTGATGCTGCTTTGTGCACGCGTTGGAGGCTGGTTAGTCGTTTCGTTAGAGTAGAGATCATGTCCTTGATATCATTGTCTGCTTGCTTTTGCTTCTCCCTGTCAACAAAGTTAGAGTCAGCCATGATCAAGAAGGGAAAATATATAAGTATTTTGTATATAATGGATACAATATGAAGTTTGGCTTGGTTTTAAAGAGGAGGAAAACACAGTTGTGTTTGATTAAAGTTGAGGGACAGAAGCAAAATGCTTTCCCTACTTAGCAATGCAAGAATTTCATTCAAATATTCTCAAAATGGAAAAACCAAGAAAAGCATTGCTTGTTGAAGGGTTTTATCATCTTCTTCATGATTACATTTTATTCTCTTGTGTCTTTCAAGTTTTTCTTTATGCTTAAATAGATGCAAGGCAAAGTTAAAAAGACAAAAAAGGCTATCTTGTTTGATTCTGGTTGCCCTTCAGCATGATTCATTACATTCTAAAGGAATGTACAGTTGTTTTTAAGTGATTTTTATTTTTTATGTTTAAGGTAAGGGGGTCATGAATCGAGAAGAGAAAGATCAGCACTAAATAAATGAATTTATCTAGTTGAGACAATTTTTGATTGATTGCATTTTATCCCGTTGAGGCATTCTTCATTGTTCTTGGCACCTGGCTTTCTATACTTAGTTTATTCCGTTTTATGACTTGAATTTTAGCTTGTAAAGAAAGAATAAAGAAGCTTTTTAATTGGGAGAAATTTAAAAATAGCCAGATTTACAACTGGTCGTTCAAAAATAGCCCAGTTTCAAAAGTAATCGAAATTTAGCCATTTTTCATGTAAAGATAAATCTGAGCGAAAACACTATTCAAAACCCAGAAAACACGCCAGTATATTATGCTGGAGTTCCAGCATAAGTATACTTGAACTCCAGCATATTATACTGGAGTTCCAGGATAAGTATGCTGGAACTCCAGCATAATATGATGGAGTTCCAGCATAAGTACACTAGAACTCCAGCATAATATACTGGAGTTCCAGCAAGTATACCGGTCCAGCATAATGTACTGGAGTTTGGAGCACCGGTGCTCCAATCTCCAGTATATTATACTGGAGCCAGCAAAGTATACCGGTCCAGCATAATATGCTGGAGTTCATACACAGGTGCACCGAACTCCAGTATATTATGCTGGACCGGTCTCTGTTGCAGCAAAATAGTGGCTATTTTTCATTGACTTGGTAAACGCTGGTTATTTTTGAATGACCAGTCCGAAAACTGGCTATACCATGCTATTTTGACTTTTTAATTAGCTATAGATAACTGGAACACAAAAGGGAAAATGACACTATATAGTTGCTCTTAAATAATAACCGAAAAATTGTACTTTATATTTTTTGTATATATATTCATTTCTGTATGTTATATACAAAAAAATATACAAATTTATATACTTTTGTGGCTATCGGATATAAATAACTGCCCTACTCAAAATCCATTCCGATCTAGTCCACACAAAAGGAGTCATAATCCAATTTTTCACTCCTCTTAGATTTAGATTTGGATTCTCCTTGTCACCCTTAATTATAGGCCCAATATTTCGAGTTGCTCGATAGCCTTCCATACAGTTCTTTTGAATTTTGAATAATATTCAAGAATTTCGGTTTTCGATTATCTAATAAATCACATAATGAAAATTGACTAGCTCATTATGCATACCCATTCAAGAAAAGATCTAAGTAGTGTGTTAATAAACCTTTATCAACAGCTCATTCAACTTGTGAGATCAGAGTCGCAATCGCTGAGTATAAAGTGACTTTGTAGGTGGAATGATAAAAACATAGTGACTTTTCTATTTAAAAAAAATGACTTTCTTGCACAATTTTTATATGTAATTTTTTTGGGAAATCAACTCTTGAAAATCTCTCTCTTTTAGTTTATCTTCCCCTATTATTTTCGGCTCCATGTCCACTCTAAAAAATTCTATAAAAGAAGAACAACTCATTCAATCTCTTTCACGTTATTAACCAAAATGACCGAAAAACTTATAAATAACAAGCTATTAATCGTGGTATTCTAACTTATCCAAATCAGGAAATGATAAATTTTGCGAAACAAAATGAGCACCAAAAAAAAAAAAGGGGGAGCCACATTTTTATGATAAGAGTGTTTATATTACCTTTAGCCAAGGCTGATATTGACACCAGAAGTTAGTCAAAATTAGTACAACCTATGTACAGATTTTAAATGTGGTCAAGTGGAGATGGACCACACAAAAAACTAGTGCCCAGAAACTAATAAAATGACAGCAGTAATCATCAAGTTGTTCATCAGTTCCGCCAAAGTGATTGGTCATGAAACAAATACTATTGTGGCTACACTTATAATAATGAGAAAATCTCACTTTATACCCATTAATTTCAAACTATTTACTCTTTAATGCTCATGTCCAAATTATTTACTTCTTCTACCCATGCAACCCAAACTATTTACCCGCACTTTATTCTATTCGCATTGCCACTGCCTCACCAACCGCAATAAAGGGCTCCTTAGTTTCAAATGCATCCAGTTTTTAACCCCTCTGCTTCTTTGTCAAGAAAGTTAGAATTCTTTACTTTTCTTTTTAGTTTTATTATAATAACTTCACTTTTAGTACTCTGCTATTTGATCTGCTTTAATTTAAGAACTTTTTTAGCCTATGTCTAAAACTTGCGGCCATTATCATTTGGGGAAAGTTTGCGTATGAACTCGAAGAAAACTAGTACTCCCATGTACTAGCTTTTATGTTTATTTGAATATTCACCATTGTTGGGCTTGAAACTCTTGAATTTAAAATTTTTATTTTGAAGATTTCTTGTTTGATTCAAAGTGGGTGCTGTTAAATATTGCTTATAATACCTTCTGGAAGTTCATACTGAAATTTGATAGCATTTGGAGCTGATTTGAGGTGATTGAGATCGAAATTTTCAGCTGAAAATCGAAGAAGAACACAGCTACCCAATAGTATACTGCTACGGCATACAATATGTTGTAGGTATATAGCTATTCCCCAACAGTATACTATATGAGTATATAGTTATACTGCAATAGTATAATATTATAGTATACAATGTATTGTTATAGCATACTGTAATAATATGCAATATACTATAACAGTATGCTGTAATAGCATACAATATACTATAATAGTATACTTATTACCCGTAAATTCACTTGCCTTTTTCCTTTTAATTTGCTTTTAAGCTTTTTGCCCAGCGTGAGAGGCAAATTGAAAATGACAAAAACAAAAAAACATATATAGTATGTTAATATAATGTAACGTATACTCTTACGATTAGTACTTACTTTTAGTTATTTTTTTAGTAATTTTTTATAGNCTCTTTGCATACAATTGTATACCCTGTTGGTATAGCTATATACTATACTGGTATCATATGTTAGTTAATATTTTTTGATTGTATTAGCTACATTTAATTGGTACACAATTTGATTTTTCTTTAGTAATAATAAAAAAAAAAGAATAATAAAAAATGGTAAAAACAGTAAATAAAATTAGATTATGAAGAGAAAAAAATATAAAAAAAGAAGTTAAATGAAATTAGAAAAGGAAAAAAGAAAAAAAATAAGAAGAAAACGAGAAAAAAGAAAAAAGAAAGAAAAGAAGCATAGAAATAAAAAAGAATTGGAGAATAAAGAAAAAATTCCCCACAAAAACCACTATGGGTAGGAAATGTAATTAGTTTATGGGTAGAAACACAAATGGTAGACAAGGGTAAATAGTTTTATTTTTGTGGGTAACTGTATCAAAATCCCTATAATAATATACAACTTGCTCCCCAAAATCCCAGCTATCTTTTTCCTTTTGTTGTTAATATAAATTCTAATAGAAGAAGGGGAGCCTTGGAGCACTGAAAAGTTGTCACCGTGTCACCTATAGGTTACGGGTTCGAACGGTCGAATTAATCATTATTATTTGCATCAGGATAGGTTGCCTACAACGTGAACGCGAGATGCTTCTGATTCTGCCTTTTTTAATAACAAAAATTATAATAGAGGAACAAGAAAGAGAAAGACACTTGACGAGTTTTAAACCACGCACAAAGCAAGGTGTAGAGAGAAATTATAATCACTACTCTGCAATACCGGCCTAATTTCTGTCATCCTTGACAAAGAAATAAAAGAAGAAAAAACAAGAATAATGAAAAATAATTATGCTGTTATAAATAGAATCTTATTTATGGTGAATGTCCATATTTAGAAAGATTCTAGGGTTCATTGCTTGGTGGCGAAGTCACCCTCTCCCTATAAATAGAGGGTTCTATTCCATCGTAATTCATCCCAAATCAATAAGAATTTTCTCTCTACTTTTCTCTGCAATATTGCTCTTCTACTTTTATTGTTTTATAAAACGTTATCAGCACGAGACTCTAACCAATTGAGTAGAAGCTTTGGGATTGAGCATAATGATTGTCAATTATTCCATGAACTTCCTTCATGATTAAATTCTGGATTTAAGGTAAGTATTTTACCGTATTTTTCTCTTTTATTCTATACTTTGATTTTAAATACAAGCAAAGACAACAAAGTTTGATTATAACTCTAATGGAGTTTGTAAGAAATTATAACCACATGAAGTGGTAAAATTTCTATGTCTTGCCATGTTCAAAGTCATGTAAGATCGTGAGCACAAGAAGTGAAAACCCGTCCCATTGAATTTGCTCCATTCTCATTCCCTTAAGAGAATGTGATAGCAATATGTGATAAGTCTGAAAGAAGACAAAATTATTACCGTGAAGGTATCAATGGATGTGGACGTGGCAATAGACGAAATTATAATTGTCATCATTGTGATAATGAGAATAATAAGGATTCTCAAAATAATCCTTCACTCTGTGAAAAATATTTGTCATCGATTTGACATGAGATTTTGTAAAGCACATATAGATGATTATGGTCCATTCATGATGTGAATGTAACAACATCTGATTTATGAATACATATTCATTCTTCAAAGAATATGAACGTGCTAGTGGTAGTGAATATACCGCACTCACCTCTAAAAGGAGGTTTGAGATGATATAAGAAAATAATGTCATTATTATGGCATGAATGGTTATTGGTCACGTACCTATTGTACGCCAAAATATTTTGGCATTGTGATTGTTAAAAGACAACGGTAATGCAAGAAGCAGATCTTGCATATAATTTTGACCATAACCATAATGGTATAACTTTCTCTTTAAAAGAGATATTCACCATATGGGTGTTGATGAATATGTGGTACTACAAAATTAATTGAGAG